AAGCATTATTAAGTAAGAGCTTATTGGAAAGTACAAGGGACAAACAATAGGAAATCCTGTCCTATGAGGACTGATCTAAAGGGACTGGGGAGACTACACTAAGGAGAAAGACCTGGAAAGTACAAGAGAACTGTCTTCAGAAAAGGGGGTTAGTTGTGTTCTGTTTGTTACTTCACTGAGTTTTACTGTGATAAATAAATGAAAAATTCTATGGATTTCAGCATTTTCTGAAAAGTATAATATGCTTTTAGGTTCTAATCACATAGGAACAATTCCCCATAACAAGAATTGTGAACACTGCTAGGTGACATCTATTAGGATTATTCTAGAAGGGATTCCTGCATTATATGGTACATGACACCATCTTGACTTTTTACCTGGAGACTGTGGCCAATGGAGAGATTTTGTTAGTCTAGAAAACATTTTTAAATTAATTTTTAAACGCCCTTGGGGAACAACCAGAGTAGTCCACACAATCCACACCACACCACTCCTGGTTCTGAACCCAGCTGCTTCACATACTTAGGCTACCTGCTCACCTCCTAAGGGTGTTTGCATTTGCCTCATCTGCAAAGTCCACTCCAGTTCTAAGATACCTTGGTCTGTGACTCAGCTTCAACCCTGAGCTCTCACAGAAATTTTCTATCATTATAAGATGGAAGAGATAGGAACTCGGCAATGACATAAATGAATTAGAATCTCTGATGAAGGCAGTGAGTCCAAACATTTTCAGGTTGTTCTCTTTCTCTATACAACTTTGGCCTGCCATACTATTCTTTTTCTCCCTCTCCCTTCTTAACCTTTCAATTCCATAGGTTTTTTTTTCCCCTGAGCCTTTATGAACAGACTATTTAAGATGTAAAAATTTTCACTTAGGATTCAGAAGCTTTTATTATCATTACAGTCCAGAAAAGCAGCCTTCAGGTTGACTTGGCTTACTCATTTGAACCATCCCAAGGTTCTTGGTAGGGATCTGGCTCCTCGCTCTGTGGTTGGTGTAATGCTGCCATCTAGTGATTATTTAGATAAAGTGCCTGAGGCATTGGCCTCCTCCCGGGCACAAAATGTTTTTAAATGTATATAACAGTGAAGTAGTCCTGCACCAGGCAGGGTCCACCTAATTGGGAGGATAAAACTGATATTCATGAAGACAGATGTGTACTGAAAAAGGAAACTTATAATGAATATTAATATTAATCACAGTGATCATTCATGATGTTTAATAATAATATCAATAGTGATTGAGTTATAATAATGATGCTCTGCAGGAAATATATATACATATATATAATGACTTTCATATAATATTTTTCAATATCTTTCACATGAAGTAAATATATATATATATATATATATATATATAATTAGATTTTTTTTATTTCTTACATACATGACAATAGTGGATATTATTCTAATCAAAACTCCACAAATAACAGTATCATATTCATTCTTTCCACATGAGGGATCAGACACAAAGAGGGCAAGCAGACTTCCCCCAGATTACATAGCTCATAAATAAAAGAGTGAGAATTTGAACCAGATCGGTGGCTCCAGATCTTCTAGATGATTCAGTCACGGAGCCTAGCAGCATTTCAGCAGTGTTCATCATAGAGAAGTTGGCCTGGTGGGAGAACCAGCCATTGAAACAACACAACAAAATCATGTGGAAGGTTGGTAGTGAAGGGTTCTATTTATCTAACTGGTTTGGAACAAGAGCCAGCCAGGAGTGGAAGGCTGGGGTAATAAGATCTAGCTGGAGGACAAGGACTGGTAGCAGACAAGTTGGAAGTCAAGGCCCCCATTTAGCACAGTAAGGAAGAGCTCTGGCTCTTGGATATGTTAAGTGCTCAGGGGAAATTCTCTTGAGGATCCTGAGACTTGGGTTGCTCACTCTTGGTCTAGCTAGCTTCAGGGACTGACCTGGGCATGCTGGTACCATTGCTGTTACTCTTACCAAAAGCCCAACTGCCTTTCCTGAAGTCCAGCCTCCCTTGTGATACACATTCATATGAGGGTGGGGGAGTGATAAATGATACACATTTGTTTTTGTCTGTTTGTTTAATAATCCATCATAGCCATCCTGAGCTAGGTGATTTCTCATCCTTTGTCTTTTTAAATTCCTACAACCCTAAGGGAATATTTAGAATTTGGAAGCCCAGTATCTAGGTGCTTAGGGTCTAGTTGCTGAAAAGGTGCTTTATAAGGAGCAAGAATTTTGAACCTCCTAAAGAAATTAACCCATCTGTAAATTGTCCCACATTTTGCTTGCTGAGTTTCTTAAAATAATTTAGATGCATGCATTCAACGTTTAGAGCAAACACAGGATAAAAAGCTTCATTCCTGACAGAACCATGCCCAACTCCACCATTTGATCTCATCACACAAGTGAGGTTCTTAAAGCCTGATGGACTCACAGATTCTCTTAAGTCAGTTTCCTAGATTTGTTTGGTTTTGCTTTATAGTTAATGAAAAGTACCAGTTATATGACAAATATACCCCTTTTAGAGGAGATTACTCCTTGTACTTTTTAGAGGCCCTTCATGTATATGGTTGTTTATTCTGTCCTCCATACATGAAGGGCTTCTGCATCCACAGCCCAACCACAGAACAAAAATATTCGGAGGAACAAAGCTTTTATAACTGATCATATACAACACATAACATTGACATTGTATTAGCTATTATAAATAATCTAAGAAGATTTAAATTACATGAAAAGCATCCTAAAAACACAAAGTACACGTAGCAGGGCATGGTGGTACATGCCTGTAATCCCAGCAGCTCAGGAGGCTGAGGGAGGAGGATCACAAGTTCAAAGCCAGCCTCAGCAAAAGTGAGGCGCTAGGCAACTCAGTGAGACCCTGTCTCTAAATAAAATACAAAATAGGGCTCAGGATGTGGCTAAGTGGTCAAGTGCCCCTGAATTTAATAGCCAATAATTTCCCTCTCTCCCACAAAGAAAACCTAACTCAAAAAACAAAGAAGATATGTGAAGGTTATATGCTAACACTATGCCATTTTTTTTTTTAATATAAGGGACTTGAGCATCTGAGGATTTTGGAATTCTGGGAGAGGTCCTGGAACCAATCTCCTACCCATACCAGGGACATCTGTATTTGCATTTGAACCAGACTGTTATGGGCCACCCAGTCCGTGGATGAATACTCTGTAACACATCATTTTATTCTAATATTCTAATTTATCATTCCATTTTTCATTGTAAGAAGGGGAATGGCAAACATCATATGTGAAGTTTATACTCCAGAATAAAAATTACTTAGATATTATCTGGAAAGTTGAAATAATAATGACATACTGGGAGTCCTTCAGTTTGTAGTGCAAATTTTATACCAAAACATAAAGAAAGAACAAGAGGTTGCAAAGTCTACCTTGCCATCCTCCAACAAGGGTTCAAGCATCCTGTTGGGTTTCTAATGCTATGTAGTATGGGGGTGGGGAGGGAAGAGTGGAAGTTAGTCCTGTCCTCTTCTCTCCTGTCTGCATACTGTACTGCAGAGGGGCTTTGGGAGTGAGTAGTAACAGGCAGCCAGGGGTCCTGAAGCTTGTATGATAAGCTTGCAAGATGGGGTTCATGTAGAAAATATTTGAAGACAGGGTGTCCACACTATAGGGTTGTGCCAAAATGACAGGGCCCGTTGCAAAATACTTTAAAAAAATTATATTCTGCACTGAGCTTTTGAAAGTTTACTACCATCATCATCATTTATTTTTTTCACAGAAGCACAAATTTTTCTCCTAACTCTGAAAGGATCTAGAAAGTTTTAATACTGATTGAGTTAAAATTATAATAAAAGCATTAAAATCACATGTGTTACACAAATTAAATATACATTTAATTTGTATATTTAAAATGTATTTATTTCTATAATAAATACACAATCAATAGTCTCTATTTTCTCTGACAATAAGTAAACAAGTCTATTACCCAAGTTAAATGTTCTGTACATATTGCACATGTTAAAGGAATATCTTTGGGGTAGCTATTACCATGCACACAACTCAGTTTTATAATAATAAGTGCTTATTTTTGCAGACTTTTCACTTTTCTAGGTCTTTGTTATAATCCCCATAACACATTGCTATTATTTTTGTTTATTCAATTATCTTCTTTGTGTGTGTGTGTGTGTGTGTGTGTGTGTACCAGGATTGAACCCAGAGTCACTTAACCACTAAGCCACATTCCCAGCCCTTTTTTATATTTTATTTCAAGAATGGTCTCACTGAGTTGCTTTAGGACCTCACTAAGTTGCTGAGGCTGGCTTTGAATTTGTGATTCTCCTGCCTTGACCTCCTGTGCCACTGGGATTACAGGCTTGTGCCACCACACCTGGCTTAGGAAAAGATTCTCATCTAAAATTTAGTAACAATTTAGTAAAAGGAAAAAGAATATGTAAATATACACACACGTACAAATTTTAGTTTTTTACTGTTTTATTAGTGTAGCATTTAAGGCGTGTAAGGTCTCCTTCTGAATTTTCTTCCCCTTAGTAAAGAATCTGCTCACAACCATATTGTTATTGAGTTTTTTGTTTGTTTGTTTGGAGGGGTGCCAGGGACTGAACTCAGGGACACTCAACCACTGAGCCACATCCCCAGCCCTATTTTGTATTTTATTTAGAGACAGGGTCTCACTGAGTTCTTAGCACCTTGTTATTGAGGTTAGCTTTGAACTCTCGACTCTCCTGCCTCAGCCTCCCAAGCTGCTGGGATTACATGCATGCATGACCGTGCCTGGCTGTAATTTAGTTTTGAGAGAAGTTAGTTCCCCTTCCTTTAGTACATGCTTTCCTCTTTGTATTGGGAAACTAGAGATGCAGATTTACATGAACTCTTTAGCAACTAAGAGAGAAAGTCATGGAATTCCTTTATTCCTATGTGCCTGGCATTTGTGGAGGCTCTCTGACATGCCGGGCACCTAGGGGGTCCTGTTGGCTGCATGTTTTTATTTTACTGACCTCAAGGCCTCTTTCTTCCCACAGGCACCAGGGTGGACAGAACAAACAGCTGTCAGTCCGACAGCAGTGGGTTTCTGGAGGAGCCACCGGAAGCCCCGCCCTTCCAGGTAGGAAGAGGGCCCTTATTGCTCACCCCACATGGTCCACTCTAACCTCACTCATGGCTAACTTAGAAGGAAAGATAAGTTTAAGGTGGCTGCCAGATTCGGAAGGGTTTGGAGGCACATGCCATGTGCAGTCAAGGGGCAGAGCATGATGGAGTCACTGTAGACGAGGTTCCAGAATATTCCACCTTTCCTTTTCATTTTTTTAATATATGTTTTTTTAGTTGTAGATGGACACAATACCATCCCTTCTTTTTTCCCTTTATTTCTTCCTTTCTTTCCTTCTTTCTTTCTTCCTTTTTATGTGGTGCTGAGGATCAAACACAGTGCCTCCCGCATGCTAGGCAAGCGCTCTACCACTGAGCCACAACCCCAGCCCCATCCTTTTAATTTTGTTTAATCAAGAAAGTGGAGCCTCATAGGCTGTTGCCAAATGAAGCACTCACTGATGTAGAGCTTGAGGCTGTAACTTTTGTCTCCTAACTTCGGAGTCAACCACGATGACACTTACAACCTTACCCCTATTGCCTTCCCCACCTCCTGACACCTTTCCCTTTGTCCCGGTTGCTCCTGCAGATGCCTTCCTTCCCAAGCAGCCAGAGTCCTGCTGAGAACGGAGGCAGAAAGCCAGGGGATCAGAGCCACAGCTTAGTGTCATCCCAGGACTGTCAGCAGGAGTCAGAGAGGTCTGGTTCCAAGAGCATGGTGGGCACATCTTTTTCTAGCCAAGATTGGAGCATCTTGGAGGAAAAGGCTTCAGCATCTGTGGTGGAGGAAGAGCCTCAGCTTGAGGCCACAGAGGGGCCACCAGAGCTGTTGATCCCAGACGCGACCCTGGCCAAGATCGCCACTGGGAAAGAACATCCAAGGGAAGTCGGCCATCTGTGGCAGCCCCCGCCAGTGTCCCATGCTGAATACGAAGGCCCTGGAACCATGGTCACCTCCACATATTGTGGCCCTCTGGGATTGGCCCACATCACAGAAGAGAAGGACAGGACTCTGGGGCCTGAGGGAACAGAGGAAGGGCTCGCACAAGGCCACCACTGTGAGTCTCAAAGTTTTCCTGGGATTCATCAGACTCAAGACAATTTCCCTCATGTGGACTTGGAGGCCCTAGGAGCAGAAGAGGGCAGCAAGCTCTGTCCCGACACCAGCCACACCTCACCAGTACAAGAGAGGCCACCACAGCAACTTCCTAAGCACAGAGAAGTCACGTCCTGTTCAGTTGACCTTGGCCAAACATCTGACAGGTCTGTTTCCCACCTCAATAAACTGCCTGGAGATGTTCCCACCGACTCAAACGCTGGCCGCTCCCAGGCTGTGTCGGCCCAGATGTCCTCTAATCTGGTGTCAGCTGCTCACAGTGCCATGGCCTTGGGGACTGACTGTGGAAGCACAGATTTAGAATGCACTCTGTGTGACCCTCTGACTACCACAGGACCAAGACTAGGGACAGAAGCGAGACAGGTCGCTGATGTTTCTGTTCAGACTTACACCTGTGAATCCCAGCCCTGGTGTTGCTGTTCATCCCCAAGTGACAAGGCCTTCGCTCAGAGGTCCCTGCCCCTCACCAAATCGGTCTCTCTGGACACGGGTTTCCCTAGTCTTTACCCAGTGGGCACCTGCCACACGACACCCACCCTCTGCTGTGTCTGCTGTCATCACCATCCCCACTGCTGTGCTGAAAGGCCCAGCCTTGGCCCTGCACCTCCAGCCTGTAGGCACGGCCTGGGCTCACACACAGATCACCCAGAAGCCCAGTTCACGAAGACCTTGAAAGCCCTTCAGGAAGCCGCCATGAGGGAGCTTTGTTCTGTAAGTGTTTCCCCTGCAAAGATGAGAAGGCAAGTGCACCAAAGGCACCACTAATGCCTCAGGGATAAGGTCGAGGCTTCCTTTCTGAATGTGAGATCTTGGGGATCGCCCTCCTGATTTAAATCATGGGAACTATTTGTAGAGTACTTTATCATGGAGGGCATATTCTCCCAAATCTCTTCTTATTTCGTGCTTCTAATCAATCACCTTTTGAAGCAAGGAAAGCAGATTTTATGATTGGTCTTCATTTTACAGAAGGGAAAACTAAGGCATAAAACAGTAAATACATATCCCCAAGATTGTCAGCATTCATGCACTCGCTCATCTCCAGTTCAGTCTAGCTGAGAAGTTCTGGATCTTACATTTTTTCTTAGCTAAATAATCTTGCCCAAGCCATTTAATTTCTCTGGGTCCACCCTATCAAATAAGGAGATGAGGCAGTCTGCAGATATGGATTGTCTTATTATTAAATAAGCTTGTAAAGTACTCAGCACAGTCTGGTACAGAGAAGCTCTAGGTAATATTAGTTGGGTGTTCCTCTCATCTTCAGTTATTAATACTGTTTTACTTCTGCCCACCTCTTGAACCTAGAACTCCTCATGTCAGGTAGAAGGACTTTGGTCCACCCTTTTCTAGGCTTGTTTCAAAGCAGACACTGGGGTTATTAGAAATTGATCAACCTTTTTGGGCCTTTGATTAGTCAACAGGTATTTAATGAGTCCTTCCAGTGCCTTCTTTTCCACAGTCCTCAAGGTATGAAATAATCTAGGCCCACCATTGATTCAAAAAATCAAGTCTCTCACACATGAAATTGCATACAGAGAGAGTTAAAAGAGGGACACAGACACTAGGATTGCAGCTATTCAAAGAAAATGAATAGAAATTGTGATTTACTGAGCATCTAGGGTTTGGTGTCTGCTAGGTTACCTTCCAATTCTTCAGTTCCATAAATATTTGTTGAGTACCTACGCTAACCATTTTAATGACTTTACGTCCTTTGACCTTGGATTCATACATACCATAAATATTTATTGGATTCCTAATATATTCCATGTCCTCTCTCTTTTATAGACCAGGAACTAGAACTGAGAGGGGTTATATAATTCTTCCAGCACTTCCAAACTACAAAGTGATAAATACAAATTCAAATTTGGAAGACATGAACGTTTTGGACATCCATTCCAAGCAAAGGTGTGTCCAACTCTAAAATATCTAAATATATATAAAATTAATGTTAACATTAGAAAGTGATTATTTGGAAGAGAAAGCATATTTCTACATGATCTCTCAACAAATAGAAATAGCTATCAATGTGATGATAAAGAAAATAATTACATGAAAGTTGAAATAATTTGTCACATTATTCTTTCACATTTCAAAACTATCAGGCATTTGGAATGTTTTTAAATGATACATGAATGAAGGTTATCTTCTTGTAAGAGAAAGTTTTATTCAAGCAATAAGATAGTACCTCGTCTGTTCACATCCACCCTTGAAAACAATACAAATCACTTATTGATTGTGTTGAGAAGAGAGATTCCAAACATGTATCAATTGAGAAGCACTATCATTCAATTTATCACTTGATATTAAAGTCAGGTATCTGTGACAACAGATGAGTATAGATACTCAGTTAGACTATCCTTCATTCAGTGATTTGACCACAATTGAACAAAGGGGAAAAAAAAGGTAACCCAGTCTCCCATGGCACAAACAAAAGTGTCCAGCTGCAGGAGGTTATTTGACGTGGTTGAGTTAATGAATACATAAGCCCCAGAGTCTAGAGCAGCTGATGGGTGGGCTTGACACAAGTTCTAGAAGGATGCCTACTTCATCAGGCAAGCCCTGGCATCCAGGAGCACAGCAGATCAAGTAGCACAGCCTGGTCAGACCATTGCTACTGAAGGCTTGGAGATATGAGGTATTGGAGGAGTCCTCAGAAATTTGTAGGAGCATGATTCTGAGGACTGAGAGAGAAAGTGGGCATCTGGCACTAGGGAGCATATAAGCAGGTAGAAGGACTACAGCTTCTGGAAGGCAGAAACAGACAGACACAGCCCTAGAGAAACTTAGGCTCAGGAACCCAGAGCCAGGTACTAGGCAAGGATGCTACTTAGACAGGAGACTAACGTAGGTCTAGGGGTGACCCTGAGTCTAGACCAGAGGTCTTCCCTTTCTTCCTACTTTAGGCCTTGGGCCTGCATAGTCCCATCTGGGTGTTACAACTTGTCATCTAGAAATAGATGCTCCTACTGGGTTGACCCTATGACATATCAGCACTTCTGCTGAAAATAGAGAGGCTTTGTGGCCCATAATGCAAAGTGGACATCCTCAGATGGTTATGTAGGTTTTAAACAAGCAGGAGTTGGAATGAGTGTGCATGCCACCAGCCCACGGTTTAAGATACCTTGTCCCATACTGCCTTAGCCTTCTCCCCTTCTAGAGCTTGCAATTATACAAAAAAGTACTTTTACCAAATTAATTTGGTATTATATACCTACTTAAATGAATACTATATAGAGTTTTACTAGATGTTAATGTTTCTCCTTATTTAGATCCAAGGAACCAGAAACACACATTCAAAGGAAACAATCAAAACACATGCAACTATGCACATGTGTATTTGTGCTTGTAAGCAGACATACATACATGCCTACACACACACACGCACACACAGGAGAACAAGTGAAAATAAGGGATTGCATTCCTCGGTGAGCCCAGAGGCCACACAAAGAAACTTAAAGAACAAAGAGGAAAAAGGTGCATAATGAAGCAACATCTGCCACCTTGAGAGTGAGCCTGGGTTTATAAGGCCTGAAAAATATTCCAGAGAAAAATGACTTTAAGTTAAATGCTATGTGTTGGCAAGGGTTAGGAAAGATATTTAGGAGAAAATTAACTAGAAAATTTGTCTTGGAGCAAATGAAGATTATAGGCAGGCATGGATATCTCCTTTTACATAACAGGAATTCCAAACAGAAGTTAAAACTAAGAGCAATTTTAGGTAAAACATATGACACAGAGAAACACCTCCAGCTTATCCAGTGGTTTCACTGCAGAGAAACACATGGCCATTTTTGTGGTCTTCTGGGATATCTAAAATAAAGGTTTGCTGATACGAATAAATTCTTAGAAGTGAATGCACAGTGGACATCCTCAGATGGCTATGTAGGTTTTAAACAAGCAGGAGTTGGAATGAGTGTGCATGCCACCAGCTCACGGTTACAGGCCTGAGCCTGTCTTAATGGGTTTGGGTCAGTAGAGCAGAACTTGTATTAGATTAGTGTTTAACCTTATGACCTTAAATTGGAAAGAAAAAAAAAAGCCAAGTGTGGTGGCTTAGGCCTGTAATCCCAGCAGCTCAGGAGGCTGAGGCAGGAGAATCATGAGTTCAAAGCCAGCCTCAACAATAGCAAGGCACTAAGCAACTCAGTGAGACCCTGTCTTTCAATAAAATACAAAATAGGGCTGGGAATGTGGCTCAGTTATTGAGTGCACCTGAGTTCAATCCAGGTACCAGACACCCCCCCCCCAAAAAAAAAGAGTACAAAATACATTCTTCCTTGCATAAAGTTTCCTTCCTTGCAAACTGTTTCCTTTTCTGTTCTAGGGCTAAAATGTATTTTCTTTGTGTTTCCAAATGACCAGAAGATGGCAGCCTTTCAGAATCTTCCACATCACTGAGGGGAATGTGAACATTCCATTGGTTATTTCCAAATCCAACCCCACACCATCCAATCATGAAGGGTCACCCTGAAAGATCTAGATGGAGCATAAAACCCAATGTTTATGATGTCCAGCCAACTTGAGTAACATCTTTAAAGGGCCTAATCTGTCCCCAGAACTTTGAGGTGAATTTGAACCCCTGGCCAGTTTTGGATATTGTATAGGAGTACATTTGAACTACTTGATCAACTCCTTCCTGAGGGACAGATAATTTCTCCACCTGTCTAGCTACTCCATAGGCCCTGTTGTGACCCAGTCAGGTACCGAGAAGAAAAGAGATGAATCTGGAAGCTTGGGTTTGAAATCTGGTGCCATTTTTTTTGACCACAAAGTTATTAACCATTCTTTTTCAGAACGTGTGTCTGTGAAGCAAGCCCTCATGGTCTCCAGGACATTTTCTGGCTTTAAAGGCCATAATATGATCATCTTCCAAGCACTCTTGCCAATATCAATAATGCTTCAGAGTTTCCTTATTGCTGGTTCACATACACTCGGACTGAGGCAGTTAAATGGTGCATTAAAAAATTATAAAATTTGGAGGATAAACTCAAAACTTAACTCTCAAAGCAAAAAGAAAGTATTATCATTATGACAGTTCTGAAAAGAACAATCATAGGACTGCCAGGATCTTGGCCATGTGGTTTTGGGGAGAAGGATAAGAAATATGGAACTTCCTAGAAACAGGACTGGAGGAATTAGCCTAGGTATAAGGTTTGTCTCTGTGGAGGGGTGAGAAGAAAATGTTAAATGGGCTTGCTAGCCATGTCAGATTCCTCTAAAGAGTGTCTCAAAGGCCCGCATCAGGCTCTCTGCTTCAATTCCATTGGCTGTCCTATCTGCAAGGGAAGCTGGGAAATGTAGTTCTTCAGCTAGACACATTGCTGCCCCTAAGTAGAATTATGTTAATGAGAAGGGAAAAAGTGAGCAGGCAGCTAGGCACAGTGATGGGGTCTGGGGAACCTGGTAGAGATAACTTTAAGGTCCAATAAGCATTAACCTCATCCAGAGTTGGGTAGGTAATGATCCTAGGGTCCTGGGTCCTGGGTTTATTCAAAGCATGATCCAACCAGATTGCAAAATGAGGGAGACAGCTGGGTAAAAACTCAGCATATTATCAGAGTGTCCTACAAATGGACAGAGCTTGAGTGTGTCAAAGATACACAGCAGACGGAAGTCAGAGCAGTGAAAAGAGATTTTGTTCAACTGCTGGTGGTAGGGGAAAGAACTGAACTCCATTCTGATTTGCACACAGATCATTTAGGCATTTTAAAGAAAGTAAGAGAAAGGGAAGAAGAGGAGCTTAATAGAGTCAGAGATGAGAAAACTTACAAAAGGTTGGTCAGTGTAAATGCTGTTCAGCCAGCTGACAGTTACCGAAACTAGGATTCTACCCTCCCACCGAGTCTGGGCAATAGTCCCTAGCCTTCCAGATGAGTATGTCTCAAAGGAATGGTTCTTGGGTCCTTGAGAAAGACAATTCTGAGTTGTAAGAGGTATACATTCACAATTTTAAGCCCCTTTTAGTAAATGATGTAAGAAAGGTAGGTCAGGGGTCTATGCCAGGTTTTGGCTAAAGCAAACTATAAAAAAGCCCTGAGCTTTTTTTAGGCAGGCATTTTAATTAGGGGCTGGAGCTAAGCATTCTAGGAACAGAGTCTTGTTCTACTAGAAGCCATGCTAGAGTTTGATTAAGTATCTTAACACAGGTCAGAGTTGTTAGGTGGAGAGAATTCTGCAATTTCAGATGCTGTAGAAATATGTTTAAATTAGGAAACCAAAGCAAAGGCACAGTTCTAGAGAGAATGTAAAATTTGAAGGATGATTCACACCAGGAGCAATGGAAAGCAAGATGGAGAGTGTAGATGGAGCTCAATTCCAGATTCCAACTCCCAGAAAGGATGGGATGCCCAACCTTTGGCTGTCTTATTCTAGGTGGGCTTGTTAGCTGAGTGGAGCTGATGCTGCAGATCTCAACCTCCAGGAATGGTGGCTAAGCAGGGCTATGACTCATTAAAAATATATTCTAAGCAGATTTTCTTTAATCAGGCACACACCATCTAAGCAGATGTGTCCAGTGTTCTTGGTACTCAGCACCAAAGTTAAACAAAATTAAATGAGAGATTCAATTTTTCTAAGCACAAGCCCTCTGGCTGGCCTCCCCCACCTCCTTCTCTCCATGTCTTTGCAGCCCCACATCACCCAGTCTGTTTGAGAGGTAATGATTGCCACTCAAGGGCTGCCCAAGAACCTCTGCCTTCCTGTTTCAGCTAACTATGGGCCCTAGTTACTTCCTGCAGCACAAGGCTGGGTCTCCCTATTCTCTTCCTCGTATATTAACAGGAGAACTTTGATCCCCAGTGGGAAGGAGACCCATTCCCTTCTCTGGGTGAGCTTTTCCAGTGCATCAGAAAGGACACCTTTCTCAGCTCTTTCTAATCATTCTCAGTACACGGTCCTCGAGATGGAAGCCATGAAGACTGTATGCCAGAGTTTCCGGGAGCATTTAGAGGAAATTGAGCAGCACCTCACAGGACAGCAGGCACTTTTTTCCAGGGACATGTCGGAGGAGGAAAGGTAATTATCTGAGGGAGCCATAAAAGTAAGTACCAGACCACACACCTGGAGCAAGGGAAGGTAATCAGGGCAGGACAGGACTGGTGAGCGCCCTGGAGCAGGGCTAATGAGAAACGGGCCAGGTTTTCCTTTACTTTCATGGTCTTGTTTTTGCTTTCTCAGTGGGAGCCTGTGAGAGTCATTTGCTGGATGGGAACATTTACTCTTTAAGGCCAGGGCTATATGAGAAGGTCAGAAGAAAGGCAGTGGGCTGGGAGGAGGGGGATTATCCACAGGAAATCTTCAGGGGATGTGAATAGGGTTCATACAAATGCAAATGTGTCCAGATTATTAGAGTTTTGAAAATCTGCATTATTTTCACATGGATTAAAAATATGTCTCAAATCTCTCAAAAACAGAAAGATCAGTAGAAGCCAGTCAGAGGTTCTAAGGGGGGGGGTGGAGAGGGAGGAAAAGTGAAGTACTGGGGACTGAAATGGAACAAATTATTTTATATCAAAATGATTTTATATAGGGCTGGGGTTGTGGCTCAGTGGCAACGAGCTTGCCTAGCATGTGTGAGGTACTGGGTTCGATTCTCAGCACCATATATAAATACATAAAATAAAGGTCCATCAACAACTTAGAAAATATTTTTAAAAAAGAATTTAAAAATGATTTTATATCAAAATGAACCTTACCATGATATATGACTATAATGTACTAATAAAACATTTTCTTAAAAATATGTCCCCAAAGCAGAGGCATTGTTCATTGCCTGAACAATAGGATAGGGGTAGGATTTAACTGTACAGGGCCATGAGGGTTCTTTTTGGGGAGATGGTACATGAACTGGATGATGGTAATAGTTGCTCACCTTGTTAAATTTATTACAAATCAGGTAAACTTTAAAACAGTAAACTTTATGATAGGTAAATTATACTATCATGGAGTTGTTTTAAAGAAAAAAAAGGATGGGAATACAGCTCAGTGGAAGAGCACATGCCTAGCATGCATAAAGCCCTGGGTTCAATCCTCAGCACCCCTACCCGCCTAACACCCCAGAAAAAAACAACCTTCCTGAAGAATATATCTGTTTCTGTAACTGAATCAAATAGAGAAGGCGACATTCTCTTTTCAGAAATTTCAAAGAAAGGCCAGGCATGGCGGCACATGCCTATAATCTGTAATCCCAGCTCAGGAGGCTGAGATAGGAGGATCCCAAGTTCAAAGACAGCCTCAGCAAAAGCTAAGTGCTAAGCAACTCAGTGAGACCCTGTCTCTAAATAAAAAAAACAAAATAGGGCTGGGGGTATGGCTCAGTGGTCAGATGCCCTTGAGTTCCATCCCCTATACCCTGCCAAAAAAAGAAATTTCCAAGACAGGACCAACATTTTGAGAGGGACAATGTAAGACTGCCCTTAGAGGTGATCATTAAATTTGGTTATCTTCTGTTATTTATCTGCAGGGAAGAGGCTGAACAACTTCAAACTTTGCGTGAGGCCCTGAGGCAGCAAGTGAAAGAGCTGGAGTTTCAGTTAGGAGACCGGGCTCAGCAAATCAGAGAAGGACTTCTATTGGTATGGAGCAATGGAGGCAGAGTGTGACTGTGTCCAACCTGCCAGAGGAGGAGGGCATTCATTGAGAACCCGATTTTGCCATCATTTCAGATTCCAGAATCATGTGCCCACACCTCATTTCAGGAACAAAGTACCTTGGGAACCCAGTTCCCCTAACTGCCATCTTCAGCATCCCCACTTCCCCATAAATAAGAGGGAAGTGCTATCACCCATTTTCCAATTAAGAACAAGAATCACGGACATGGTGCAACTTACTCTTGAGCCAATCGAAACTAAGTACTACCATAATGTGCTGCTGGCCCATTCTAGAGAATTTATACCTCATAAATGCCTCTCTCCCGAGTGAGTGAGCTATTTGGTACAAATACTATACGTTGTCCACTCTTTTTATTCTTGTTTCCCTTCAGCAGCTGGAGTTTCTCACGGCGGAGCCTCCTGAACACTATACACACCTGCAGCAGCAAAACTGGACAGAAGAAAACAGTAGCCAGACTTCAAGTGCTAACACCCACACAGCCATGGACGATGGCCAGCAGCCTCCCTGCTCAGGTGTGGTCCAGTTGGCTGCCCTTGATTTATCAGCCAAGGAGACCAGAACCGAGATGTCTCCCCCATCACCAGCTCCAGAGGAGTCTGGTCCAGCCCCTCCATCAAGTTGTTCTGAGGGAGAAAAAGATACAAATACCTTCCTCTAGTTCCAAGTGGATTTGGTGTACAATGTAAGAGCTCACAACAGCTGTAGCAAGGAAATCTAAATTTCCCCTCCAGAATTGTCTCCCAACCCTTCATCACCTATATCTTTTTGTTTGTTTGTTTTCATATTCTGCTCTATGATTAAACTCAAAGCAATTTGGAATACTACGTACTCATTGATTATGGAGTAATTAATCACCTACTATGTACCTGACCCAGGCTATACAGTGGTAACCAAGTGGTGTACAGTCTTTGCCCTGCTAGACCTTACTGCCTGATGGGGGAGAGAGAATATAAACACACACATGCATTCGTCATTAAAAGCTGGGTAAGTGCTTTGAAGAAAATTACCAGATTTTAAGAAAGAGGACACAATGGAGAGTCTGATTCAGATTAGGTGTCCAAAGGCCTGGTTGGGGAAGTGACAAAGGTGAGGGAAAGAGAATCCAGAAGGCAGAAGTACCAGGGCATCCAAAGGGCCTGAGTCAGTCAGCCAATGGAGTGCAGATGAAGCAYGTACAGTGTGCCAGGGACCCTTTGTGCAAGAGGCAGCCAGGAGCAAGACAGAATGACTACATTGCATGAGTCAGGTGAAGATTGCAAACAACAACCACGGACAACTCAGTGAGCTAATTTCAGTACTGACAAAATGGTGGAGAAGCCTGTGTGTAATGTGGCAGAGGGTGACGTGGAGTGAGAAGTGTTTGACATTAACTTGTTCCAGAGACACTGACTCTCTATGGAATGGGGAACACATGGAGAATGGAATGGGAAAGGAACATGTCATGGAAAAATAATGCCCTGGGGGAAGTTTATAATTTGTAGAAGAGAATGGACAGGTCACCCACTAGCAAAGGAATTAGGACACTGTTTTGAAACTGGCCATCGCCAGAACCAGCCTTACCACCTGCTTCCACTCCTCATCCTCCTTGCATTTTGGAAACTCTTTGACTTTTTATTCCCAACTTCCCTCCTTGATTCCTTCACTGACTGTACTTCCTCAGAATGTGGAAGCTCCCATCCTCTCCTTAATTCTCCTTTTCCCTTCATACCGCTCCCCTCCATATACACGTCCCCTCTGCAGTCCTCCATGCCCCCAGTTCCCACCTGTCTCTGGAATCCCAGTCCAGCATCTTCTATTTCCCTGCCACACAGACTCTAAGCCACCATTTTGCCTTATCTTCTCATGTCTTTGTCCTTGTTACCTCAGAATCTGTCACCATGTCATTGCTGAGTTTCCCACCACAATGTGGTCTCCAGAAGTCCCTTCAGAACCTGGTGACAGCACAAGGCAGTGGCCTTCTATGTAACCCTAGCTTCTTTCTCCCTGAACCACACTGGCCTCTGCCTGGTTGGTCCACCTCAGGCACCACTTGGGCCATATTTCCTTGATTAAGGTGAGTACCAGGAAGTACTTTTAGGATATCCCAGAGAAGTGAAGAGAAATCACTAGATCATATCACCCCCACCTGCACCGTCTTCCACCAAAATGTGTCTTTGCCCCAGAAGCAACAAGCCTCTGCTCTTGTCTCCCATTGCATCACCTCCCTGTGCCATGTCCCTCTTTTGGGTTCCTGCATTCTGGCTCTATCTCTAGTCACAATTGCATTTGTACCTACCAAATGGCTTTTCTTTCTGAACTTCTTCAAATCTTCACCTGGATCAGGCTTTAGGCCTCCATTTTCCAGGACACTTTGAGTTTGCCTGTGATCTCTGCCTGCTTCTTCCCCATAACTCCTGCTGAAGAGAAATACCTGGCTCTGGGCCCTCCCTAACCTGACCACCATAGCTTTACAGTCTCAGATCCTACTCGGCCTTCATATGAATCTTAAATGCTATTCTACTAAACCACCCCATACATGCCTGCTCCCTTGATAATCTATACAAACTACAGTCTGATCTCCATATCTACAGGCTCTCCATCCATGGATTCAACCAACCAGGGCTCAACAATATTCAGAAAAAAAAATGCATCTGTCTCAACATGTAGAGACTTTTTCTCATCAATATTCTCTAAATAGCATAACAACTGTTTACCTAGCATTTACATTATACTAGGTATCGTAAGTAATCTAGAGATGATTTTAAGTATGTGGAAGGATATGTAGGTTCTGTGCAAATACTATACCAATTTATAGAAGGGATTTGAGTCTCTATGATTTTGGCATCCTTGAGGAACCCAGAACCAATCCATTGCAGATAAAGGGAAGACTGCATCTCTCCAGTAAGTCTTGGGCTCGACCTCACACATACATAGCACAGGATTTCTTTGATGATCTCTGGTTGAAGGGATCCCTATGTTTTGGAACTCCTTTATCACTTTGCACCTTTATTAAGACCCTTAAAACCTATTACCTTGAGTTATCATTATCTGCATAGGATGCATCCTCCCCACTAAACCAAAAGCTACTTAAGGGCTGTATAGCACCCTTTACCCTTGTGTTTAAGAGAAACTATCAGGATGAAAGTTAAGGCTTCTTTTTACCACATAGGACTTTGGCTACTTGCTCTCTTTTCCCTCACTTCTTTCCTCTGTAAAATAAGAATAAGAAAAACCACACCAGGTGGTTGCACAGAATAAATGCAGTAAACCAGGTTTAGCAGCAATTCATCCAGTACCAGTCACATAGTAAATGCTCAGTGTATGATGGCTGTTATGTTGAGTGCACGAGAACTCAACAAATGCCAGCTTCCTTCTGTCGAAAAGCACTCTGCGAGCAAAGTACCTTACACACAAAGAATATTAACAAACGCCTGATGAATGAGGGAGATGGAAATAAATTAACAGTCTCAGGAGGGAGTGAGGAAAATGACCTGACTACAGAAGAAGCACTATTTTAGGCTATAGTAGAAGCTAAGTTTGGGTTTTAAAAATGGATTTGTTTGTGGTTATTCCTGACAATCAGGCAGATGACTTCAGATATGATGGAGGAGTAAAAGAGACCCATTGTTTCCAAGTGACAGTTAGCATATGGAATCCCCAAAGACCTCTAAATATTCCATGGTGTTTCCTAGTTTATTCTTCTAACTCTCCAACAAAGATCACAAAGAGAAACTGAGATGTAAAAAGGCCAGAGCCTTTGCCATCTTCCATGCACCATGAACTGGTTAGCAGTGCTGCTTCCCAATCCCACCTCTCATTCTCAGGCCTTTGGATACAGACTGCATGACACCACCAGCTTTCCTGGTTCACATAATAAATCTCCTCTTACCTTTGCCTGGCTCTGTTTCTTTAGAGAAAACTAAGAGTACACTAAGAAAGAGTTCAGAGATGGAGTGACAGACCTACAAAAGGTAAACAGAGTCCTAAAACATATTAATAAGAAGCAACTGAGCTCTGGTGTTAAATTCAAGATTTCAGACTTAACCTATTGTGGCTCAGAGTCCCATGTAGAAGACCCCCTCTATGGAATGCTGGGACACAATGAGTTAAATTCAACTCCACTACTCACTATGTATTCTGGATAAACTATTTCATCTCCCTAAGCCCCAGGGGCATCATGTGTAAATTAACAGAAGCAATGCACACTAGCCCTTTAGACAAAGCCTGGAATGTGATTAGGGTCAGTAAACCCTACTGTTAATGATTAGGAAGATAGTGATAGTAAGGAGAGTGTATGCCATTTATTGAATATCTGCCTATGGGCCAGGTATTGAGCTAAGCACTTCATGTGCCTTAGCACTTATCTTCACAATAATCCTGAGAGGTAGGAATTCATCTACACATACACACACACACACACACACACACACACACACACACAGAGAGAGAGAGAGAGAGAGAAAGAGAGAGAGAGAGAGAGAGAGAGAGAGAGAGAGAGAGAGAGAGAGAGAGACTATATTGTCTAAGGTCCAGCAACTAGTAAGGGGTTGAGTTCACACTCTGGTTTGCTAAGCCAATGGCGTATCATGATGGTTCTGCCAGGCCTACGGGCTTATATAAAGCTCACCAATGGGCCCAACTTAAACACAGTGTCCCTGCTTGTGTCTGCACTACCTAGTGGGCTGAAGCAGGTTTTGTTTTGTTTTTTTTTTAAATACTTATGGCTTAGAAAAGTTTGAAAAATATTGCATGAAATCTAATCACATAAAACCTCTCTTTCATTCAAAGAGGTTCAGAGCTGCTTTTATTCCAGGAGACGTCTTCTATCACAACAATCTTTTTGAACCTCTCATCCTGCCCAATTTCAGCTTATTGTTATCTGCTCCTCTCCCACAAAAAAAGTGGCCAGAGTCTCTTTTCTGTCCCTGCATGGGATATCTTACTATTCTCTCACCAAGTCCCAAAGTCCTGGACTCTCTTTTTCTCTTTGATGTTAATCATGTTCAAGTTGATTCTACAAGAAAAACCCAGACCACATATATGAAAATAAAGAAGAAGATTTCAATAAATACTAGCAGAAAGTGAATAACAGGAACTCTTTTACTGAGATTGGCATGATTTCCTTTCAATTAAAAAGAAATAAAAAATAAAATGACACTATCTAATGGTTTTCAGTTTAGAACTGGCCAGGGAACAATTTGGCTTATTCTACCTCAAAGTTTCAGGGTCTTTCCCTGATTTAATTTATTCCATCTGGGTTCCACATTTCAGTGTTCAAGTCCTATAGCTGTGAATAGAGAGGTTGATCTGAGAAACAGCCCTTAGAATGCAAGTCACACATTTTCCTTGGTCTCGTTATGCATGAGTAAAGACCCAAGTTGCATGATGGAGACACAAAGATGAAACCCTGAAGGCTCTTCTGAACCAAAGCGTATGTGTAGACCTTGTAGATTTCAGTAAAGAAATCCATTTTTTAGCCCATAGAAAAACATTCCTCAGAAAAGTGGCCCATTAGATTTGGTTGATTTTACAGATATTCTCTTACATGTAAACTTTTGTCCAAAGAGATGGAGCCTTTTTATTTCCTTAAAAGGAAATATTTTTTCTCAAGTGGAAAAATAAAATCAAAAGACTTTGACTGGCATAAGAATCTGGCCTGCTATAATTGTTGCTTCTTTATTGAGGAAGTAGTTGGTGTCTTGGTATAACATAAGTCAATAAAATAGGCCATTTGTGAAGAAGTTAAAGGAGACAAGCTATTTCCCTTGGAAAAGACAAACTTTCAGAGTGTTTTCAAGTGGGTTGCATGCCTAATTTGAACAACAAACGGCAGCTACAATTGCAGGGATTATAGATTATTTAAAATAATGTCAAATTGCCTTTCTTACAAATTGGAGAATATAAACACAAGCTAAAACAAGGCATTCTTCTCTGACCCAAGCTCAGCCTCTCTAATAGTCTAATTTTCAAACATTATCAGGCCAGAAGATTTGGTATGGGATGTTCCTCTCTGAATTTGTTCTTGGCTAAGAAAGAAATCTCCACATCAAGAATGATTTCAAATCATAAGAACCACATAAGAACCAAATCATAGGACTTTGGCCACTTGCTATCGTTTCCCTCACTTCTTCCTCTGTGAAATAATAAGAAAAACCATGCCAGGTGGTTGGACAGAATAAATGCAGTAAACCAGGTTCAGCAGCGATTCATCCAATACCAGTCACATAGTAAATGCTCAGTGTATGATGGCTGTTTTGATGAGTGCGCGAGAACTCAACAAATGCCAGCTTCCTTCTGTTGAAAAGCACTCTTCGAGCAAAGTACCTTACATGCAAAGAATATTAACAAACGCCTGATGGAGTACTTTGAAAACTCGAATTCCATCCAATACTAGTAAGGCCCTCAAACACTCAATGTCTTATTCATTCCTCAGGAAAACGGAAGTGAAAGAAAGCACTAGCATTTAATGCAGTTCTTAAATGTACCACCAGTTTCTTCTCATTATATTTAACAATTGTTTATTTGCTAGTTATAATGTATCAGAGTCACAGGACATCTATATATTTTTCTTTGCTAAAACTTTAAATATTTGGGATATCTCACAAGGGTGTAGTTTGCAAGACTAAAGAAATATAAATATAAATATCTGGCATTTTCTCTCCCCAAATGTGTGTGTGTGTGTGTGTGTGTGTGTGTTAGTTCACTATAATTATATGTAATATTATGTATAAAATTGGGGCTCATTTTGACATAATCATTCAAGCATAGAATATAATTTGTTCCAGTTCAGTCCCTAGTACTTCCCCTTTCTCTCCTCCCTTTTTCTGTTCCCCTCCCTCTACTAGTTTTTCTTCTATTTGCTTATAGTTTTTTTTAAAAAAAAATTGGTGCTTTATAGATATAAAGATTCACTGTATTATATTCATACATACATATGTACATAAGATAGCCTTGCTCAATTTCATTCCATCATTTCTCCCTTCTCCCCATACCTCCTCCCTCCCCCAATCCCTTTCCCTACTCCACTGACCTCACTTCTACTTTCATAGGATTTCTGCCCCCTCCTCTCCCAGCCCCCTGCATTTTCCCCCTTATTTTGATCTAGCTTCTGCACATGAGAGAAAACATTCATTCTTTGACTTTCTGAATCTGGTTTATTTCACTTTACATGATGGTCTCCAGTTCCATCCATTTACTAGCAAATGCCATAACTCCATTCTTCTTTATGGCTGAGGAACAGTGCACTGTGAATATATACCACATCTTCATTATTCATTCATATGTTGACAGATAACAGATATGTATTTTAAAGTGATTTATTCTTACTTTGGATCATCTGTATTCTTCTATGGACACTTGTTATTTGTCAAATGTACTGCTTTGTTTTTAAGTCCTACGAATAAAAGTATTCCCTTCTATTTTGTATTACCTAGTGGCATAGTTTCCTTAAACTATTCGAAGCTGTTGAACCATGTGAAATGTATCCTGCTTTGATCAGTAGTCTATCACTGATGTATGTTGGGGGGAGGGTTTCTGCCCTGAGCAGCAACATCACTCATTCTTGCTCAGTGGTCTTGCCCACTTTGTCTGTTCCACATAGGCCCAAGTTCTACCTACCCCTCTGCTTCCTCTGCCCCAGTGGAGGCTCCAAAGCTCAGTAGGGCAAGCCATAGACAGTTATATGTTCATTGCTTGTTTAGAAAACAATTCCTTATTCTCTAATCCAAACAAATGTATATCTTCTGTTATTTTGATGAGAATGACTGTCTTCCATTTCACACTTACATCAGGGCTCATCAGTACAAACTGTGCTTTAAAGTCTTTGATAATTTCCACATCTGGGTTACCTTGCAGTTTGTATCTAGTGATTATATTTTCCCTTGAAGGGTATTAAACTTTTCCTGGTTCTTCATATGTCAAGTAATTCTAGATTGTATTCTGGACATTTTGACATTATTCTATGAGACTTTTAAGTTCTGTTAAAAAGTTCCTGAAGATTGTTGTTTGCTTGCTTGCTCTAAAAGGTAATCAATGCACTTAGCTTTGAATTCTAGTCCTGATCCATCTGTGTAATGGTTCCAGAGTCAATTTTGGCTTTCTCAGCCTTGTCTGACCTATCTATCCAGCTCTGTTCATGTACCCCATACAGGTCAGTCTTCGACCTGGATGGTGGTCTACACTGTAGTTCAATTTTCAAAGCCTTTGTTAGATTGCTTCTGATCAAGGTTCAGAAATGAGTTTAAGACTTTATGAATGAATTTAAAGTTCCCCTTCCTCCAACTACCTCTTAATCTCTGAATAATCCCTGTCCATAATCTCACTCCTATGGGTCTCTTTTCCAGGCTCTGGGTAGAAAACTATGGTTTTGGCATCCTGTACTATCATGGATCTCCTGCAACTGAGTCCACCTCAAAGCAAAGAGAAAACAGCGTCAAGAGCCAGAGCTGTTACCCCTGATTCCATCTCCATTGCTATGGCAATTGCCACTGCATGAGAGAAAATGCCACTTCATTGCTGGGACGTGCCTGAGGAGGATTGGGAGGAATAAAAGGTCTCTGTTTCCCAGGAGCTCCTTTCGCAGATCTGCGGCCCAAGACAGAATGCTTTACTTGCACCTGTTTATGTTTGTACCTGTTGCATAATTTCAAATTACAGGCTGCCCTAGAAATATGGTGGGGGTTATTTCCTTAAGGGTTATTCTTTTTATTTTTGCTCCCCAGTTGTCCTGTTATTAATTACTTTCAAATTCCTCAAATAGTTGTTTCATATATTCTATTCAGGAACGTCAAGTGGTAATCAATGCAAAAGAAAGAGTAGCATTAACTTTCTCCTAACCAGAATTATAATATATAAATGTAATTTTTTTTAAATCCGGAGTTGCTTACCACTGAGCCACATCTCCAGCCCCTATTTTATTTTATTATTTATTTTGAGACAGAGTCTCACTAACTTGCTGAGGCTGGATTTGAACTTGTGATCCTACTGCCTCAGCCTCTTGAGTTGCTAGGATTACAGGTGTGCACCACCCCACCCAGATCAACAGAAATGTTTTTAATATTCTGTTATTATGAGAAAAATGCTAACACTTATTTATCATGTGCTAAATACTGTGATAAACCTTTTATATGTGTGATTTATATATTAAGAAAACAAACATTTTAAGTAATTATCATTATCCCAACTTAAAAGATGGGAAAACAAGGGCTTACTGAGGTTAAGTGAATTGCTCCATGTCACACAACTGGAAAACCGGACATAATCCCAGTTCTATCCTGAGCTAAATGCTGAATCACCCTACACTGTAGCCGTTGCCAAGTCCGTTATGCAAACTGGGTTGGGCCAGAGATGCTAACATTTTGATTATCTGAACGGATCAGGCAGTACGGAGTCTTCTCGGAAACTTGTGTTTTTCTAGCTTTCTGCATTGATTAGGTCAAGTTGAAAGACGTACTTATGCACAAGGCGGATGGAGATTTAATATTGCTTTGTGTTGGTTATTGGGCAGGTGTTTGTTTAAAGGAAGTGGAAACAGGTGTGTGGGCCTTGATTCAATTACATGATGGAGGGGGACACATTGATCCATGGCCATTTTCAAGGAGAGCTGCTGATTGTGCTAATTAATCATTTGTCTGTCAGAACAAAATAGAACATAATGGAAAATGATGTTCCAGTGCCATAGGTATGGAACACAGACTCATGGGCCTGGCTCTCCTAGCAAGCAGATGCAGCTGTTTATGATGACAGTCGTTACGATGCAGTCTCTGACTCCTCCCGGATCATCATGTCTGCGATGGTTTGCAGGAAGGGCGTTTTATAAACTCTTGCCAACAGCATGGGACCTCATCCAACAGGAATTGCCTCTCAAAGAAACCTTTCCCTTCAAAGAGATTAATTAAGTCTTTTTAGATCATGAGGGCATCCCCAGGATAGGGCTGGAAGGGACATTTTCTATTCTGTGTCTTGGAACACTCAATCTACTTCACCTGACCAGACATTTGTGCTCATAATGGGACATCATAATAATACTTAATTCATTCTTTCAATTATCCACTTGCCAATCAATAGACATACTAGTCTTTTAAAACCATTAATCAGGCACATTGATCTGCTTGAGTATCTTCAATGACTCTTCAGCACACTTATGATGAAATCCCAACTCCTTACCAAGATTGACAAAGAGGCACATGATCCCACCCTGCATATCTCTCTGATCTCATTTCTATTCTCTCTCTCTCTCTCTCTCTCTCTCTCTCTCTCTCTCTCTCTCTCTCTCTCTCTCTCCCCTCCCCTCTCTCCCCTCTCTCCCCTCTCTCCCCTCTCTCCTCTCTCAACTTCATGGATCTTCTTGCTATTTCTTGAGCACATTAAAGTCATTCTGGTCTCAGGGGCTTTTCCTCACTGCTTCCTCTTTGTATGGCTTTCTGCATTTCTCAGATATTCATAGGGCTGGCACTTTCTCAAGCCTCTGATTAAATGTCACCTCTTCAGGGAGATTTCTTTGACAACTGTGTCAGTTGTCCATGAGTATAACAAATACCTGAGATAATAAATGTAAAAGGAGAAAAGATTTCTTTTGGAG